AAGTTACATAATACGTCTTGAGACTAAGTGTCGACTAAGTAGAAAAGAAAATGGAATTATAAAGTAAACGCATAAATATATGTCTTAATCGGTTTATTAATCCGCAAAAAAATTTAAATTGACAAACTTGACGTTCCAGCGTGCTAACACAGAGAGCCTCTCCTTAAACTCTCTTGCCGCAACTCATCGCATTGTTCCTGATGAGAACCTCGTTTCGCGGCAGATTTCGCGTGCGGTTTCTATCCGTCGCTAGGCGCGAAGCAATTTCCGTGAAATCCCATTAACCCTTCTTAGATGAACGACGGGGAAGTGGAAGGAGACGGCGTGAGGGTTTCAGAGAAGGATAAGGTGAATTGTGCGGAAGATGGAGATGGTGGAGGGAAGACACGGCGGATCGCACTTGTCGCTTGCCACGCCGGTATGTTGCGAAGGCATACTTCCATCAAGTCCGCGGGAAAGATTTCAGTATCGTCGCTCCATGTCGATGTGCACGTTCATGCCGGCCAATCAGTAATTTACGATCATCGAAGGGCGCTAAAAGCATCCAGATTGAGTCTCTTAAATGCAAGCGTTTGCTCCTCGGGACGTCTCTCTTCTATCCTTTCTTCACCCTTTCTCTTTTTTACCTTTTACGTTTCTCTTCTCGTGCATGTCGTACGTTGTACGAGCACACACAGGTAAACTCTCGCGCGTGCGTGTGCATAAGTGAGGCGTCTTAATACATACGGGAGAGACTCTTGAGGAACGGAGCCGCTCGACGCGGTCCAATTACTTTAAATTGAGTTATAACCGGATCAAATTGCCGATAATTGGCGATTGCATAGCTTAATCGGGTGCCAGGCCTCCTCTCGTCTTTTCCCTCCCTCGATTCCATCGAGCCGACACCGTCAACGAGAACGCGCCTCTCGTCCTCTTATTTGACGTTGTTCACCTTGTGTATGAAGTTATTTTGCAAAGTGCTTTTCAAAAGAGAGGGTGGGCGTGCAGGAGAGAACAATGAACGAGAGAGACCGATTGAGGACGAAAGAGGTTTCTTTTCGCGAGTATGAGAGTAAGGCGCGCGCGTTCTTATCCTTCGACAATACAAATTGCTGATTATGCGCCCGGCTTTTATGTGCCTTCTAATTGGGCCGCCTCGGCTCTTGGGAAAGATCGACCGATCGCACGATCGGCCCTCGTTAACCCCTAACGCTCTACGTGCACGCCAGGGATCTGTATAAGCCTATATACTTCACGGCAAAGTCTATCGGTACCGACGATGGTCCTCGCGTCACACTCAACACGCTTTCTTCCTTAACTTATTTATGACATCGTGAAATAAATCCCATCAGTGTAATATGAGAATTAAACGTTTTTGCTTATATTTTTTTTTAGGGAGGGAGTCAGAGGAATATAAGAATTAAAAAGCGCAAATTAAGAGATTAATTTCAAAAATAAAATCAATGCGAAAAAGTTAATTTAACGCACGAACATTGGCGTTCGGCTTTCATAGCCTTTATTTTTAAATATATATTTAATATTAAGGGTCTTAAAAATTCTTAATAAAATTTTTTTCCTATTTTTTATCATGATTATTTATTTTTACGATAAGAATTGTGAAAAGAAATATAGAATCTTCTGATAAATATTTATAGAGAATGCGTTTGCGGAAATGATTTAATCCGAAGCTTCCGCGAAACATTATTATTTATACAGATATTTAATCAGATCAAATCATAAATTTAATCTGACTGTGAGCACGCTTAACCACAGACTTAATCGTTGCGATTTGTTTCTACAGTTAATTGAGCGCGCGGCATTGTGCTCATATATATTCGTGTGTTTCTTACATCATGTGTGTATAATAAGCTTATTCAAAATTGCAGTAGCGATAACATCTTTCTCAAAGTCTCGTAAGTTAATTTGAATAAAACGTGTGTATAAAGAAAATACACCAAGCGCGTTATCTGTTACGTTATACGTTTAATATAAATGTATTATTCAAATAAAACTGCTGCGGAAGGTTGCCTCATCATCGAAAACGTTGACATATGAAGCCAGGTGATTACGATTCCACACGAAATTTATTTTTTATCTCGCGCGCGCGATCTTTCGTCGATTTCAGCGTAATTTTTATAAGCGAAATGGATAGACCACTTTATAAAACCGTCAACAGCTCTAGGAATTAATAATTACGCGGTGACACGGCTCATTACTCACGGGTCGCGTTCGTGGTTTTACGCGAACACCGCGTTTTGCGCAATCAATTAGCGCGTCAATTTATGCAATAAATTTACGGTTGTCTCTTCGAGTTATTAATTTGCTTAATCAAGAAACGGATAAGCGAGAAAAGAACGAGAAATCGTGCAGAAACGAGCAGGTCGCACGTGAGATCATCGACGATTTCTTACCTTCGCCGGTCTGGAGCGGAAGCGAGTTGTCGTCGACTATCGCGCTCGCTGCGCTATCTTGTCTATCGGGTCCCAAGAGAGCCATTGGCATTTCTGCTTGACGCATTATGCTCGCACGATATGCGTCTCTTTCTCCTGTTGTCGCCGCTTCGGGAAATTGCCGAACATGTATCTTTCGCGAACTGTTTCGAGGAGAAAGCGACCAGCGTTTCCACTAAAATCGAAACCACGCTGCGGTCCAGTTTCGATATATATGTATATCTCTGTACTCAATAGATTCATTTTGAGGATGATTTTTTATTATATCGATCTGACGAGTTTTAATTATTTATCTACATAGTATGCATTTTATAATAGGAATTTTCTAAGATAATTGACGCCGTTGCATATTGTGTTATTATAATAATGAACGTAATTGGATTATGATTTTAGATATTAAATAATTTTTTAAGTTATACATTTTTTTCTTTTACAATTAATAAAAGTCTAATAATAGCAAAAATCGAAAATAATAAGATTTACTACACATTTAAGATTATTTTAAAAATTAATCGAACATTATATATTATTAGTCAAAATTTCAAATCTTCCAATGCAACTTCCTTTTTGATGGATTTTTTTATGGTGATAACAGCAGACTTAGATATAAATAAGATTCGAACTTCTATGAGGTTTTCTCTGTATAAAAACAATGTTAAGAAAATAGTCGTATTTCTTTTCGCCAATACTCATAAATGCTATATAATTGCATTATATAAAAACTATTATATAAAAAGAATTAAAGACGAAATAATTAAAGATAATTACATATTTACATCAAATTAAAATTAATAACAAATATTTTCTATCTAGTATTATGTATGGTACAAATTACAATTCCACGTTAAGCGAATTTCCGACATGAATAGAACAACTAATAGTAGCAGTCAATCACTCTTTACGTTTATGTACTTCATTTCTCAAGATTTACGCTCGTGTTAAAAGAAAGTTCTCCGTACGGTCGCTACCGTTCTCGTGGAAATTCGCTTTTGTTGCGATCGCATCGTGGACTTGTAAGTCAACTTGTCGCTATTTCATTCGTACCGAGCGGGAGTCGCGCGTAGACGGTTAAAATTGTTCTGTACACAACAGCGTTGCCCAACTCATGCATAGAGTCATGACGGATTGAAGCGATTGCTTATTGCTCGACTGGTGCAACCAGAGAGTAGCAGTGAACTGATGTACTGCCTCAAGTCTATCTCGTTTGTTATCCCCATTAATACGTGCATGCGTGCATACATACATGCTCAACTTTACGTACATGTATGGAAATCGTAATAATAGCGTTACCTCTACTACAATATGTTGTAGATCTTTTAATTGATGTCTAGAAAAAGGAGGGAGGATAAGATGAGGACGAAAATAAATTTTTTTTCAAAATTATTTTAGATATTTGAAGATCACTATTAGGGTCTTAATAGCTTTTTCTCTTCCACGAATTAATTTTCCCTATTTCTGCATATATAAAATGCGTATTAAAATAATTGAAAGATTAATATTTTCATACTTTTATATTTTATATTTTTTCATGCATCGTGATTAGCACCGATTTGTATAAAATTAAAATTTGTTTAAATTTTGAAATTTCTTGAAAAGAAGAATCTCTTTTTTCATTTAAAAAAAACAGCAGATACATTTAAATGTTCTAAATTATCTCACAAATGAATGTACTATGATATATAAATACATATATTAAATTAACTCTTTGCACTCGTTATAATTTAAATTCCAGTGTATCGGCAAACTCGTAATAAATTGTTTGATCTGTTCTTTAAACAAAATATAAGAAAGAAATGGATATTTTTAGATTTTACAAGATTTTTTTGTTCATAATTTTTAATTCTATAATTTTTTAAAATAAATAGTTACACACACTTAAATATTATATAATTATACTTATAAATTCAAACGTACTTTTAAAAAATAGTCATATTATAGAAAAAGATAATACATTATATAATTGCGAAGTTGATATGAGTGCAAAGAGTTCGAACTATATTGGCCAAAATATTTTACTCTGATTCTCTGTGCATAATATTATATAATTTATTTTATTAACAAAAAGCATCTTCCGTCACAATAAATAATTTCTTGGAAATCTATTTAAATAATATAACTAAGTTTGTGTACATACATGCTTTATTATTTGAAATGGAATAAAAAAATGACAAAAATGATTACAAAATTAAAATAAAAAAGATCAAATATCTGAATTGATGGACCTATAAAAAAAATTATATCTTTTTGTCCAATTATGTCGGTAACAATATTTGAGAAAACAACCACATAATTATTTTTTATTCTTGATTTGTGTTTAAAACGGCATTCATTCAAAGGCTGTACGAGATTACTTGGATAACTAATCTGAAATAAATTAAATCAGTATAATACAGATATTGTACAAAGGACTCTTCGTGTTTTCTTTGTACGTTTCCTTCCTCTGTATAAAATGGACACACTTTTCATGACGATACTGCATACTTATAATCAAAACGGCCGACATGTTCTCTCAATCAGTTTCATTGTTGTCTTCTCATCGCGCAGGTAATCTTTTTTATCCTATTATTTAACTCTTTTTTTTTTTTTTTCAATGATTCATAATGCTCATAAATTCTTCGTTCGATATCTCAAACTTTTTGAAATCGTATTATTTGAAATGGAATAAAAAAATGACAAAAATGATTATAAAATTAAAATAAAAAAGATCAAATATCTGAATTAATGTACCTATAAAAAAAAATTATATCTTTTTGTCCAATTATGTCGAAATCGTTTAAGGTTTTTGAGCGTAATCAAGTTAAGACCTTAAAGATTCAACTTCAAGGGTGTAGCGTCGAGTGTTAAATCGAGTGGCTTTGCTGCGCCTTCCTCCGTAGACGAGATATTGGTATCGTTTGTGCGATTCTTCTTCTCCCCCTTTTTTTCGACAACTCATTAGATCGTGATGAACTACCGCTCGCTCCTCGCATGCTGAGGTCTATCGGTTCGTCCAGCTCGTCGGCGAGACCACCAGGATTAGGACTGACCAGAAGTGAGTCACCACCTCTCACCGGGTATGTCGCCGGTGTGATCATAGTTGGTGCCGAATATAACGCGTTTAAATAAGGATTATGAGCGTCCATAAGCATCAGGCTGCCATTGATCGACACTCTAGAATTGGATTGCGGTGGCTCCTCTGTCCTATTAGCGAACGGTGAAACTCGACTCGAACTGCTTCTAGATTCTCCATCGAGATGATGGTCTTCTTCGCTGACGTCACTCTCGGATGTGGTTCTTGACTCTCGCATTGCTGCTTCCAGTGATCGATAGGATAAAGACTCTGATAAAGACAATGCATATTGCATTGCAATTGGGTTTTGATTGTCTACCGACGATGATATAAGTTCGTTCAAGGATACTTGGATAGGTAATTGTGAGTGGAGGTTGGTAAACCAGTTGGACGGAAGAAACCCGTTGCTGTGAGAACTCGAGGCATCGCTGGCTATATTTTCTAAGTTTGCCTGACTGGTCGACGGAACGTTTCTCTCATCTTCTGAAGGGACGTAAGATTGTGGTAATAAAGAAGATAGATGAAAAGGCAAGGACGGAACGATATGGTGATTTTCGCTCTGTTCTACTTGTTTCTGCTGTAGATTTGGCGTTAATGCGTGGCTCATCTTAAACCAATTCGAACGTCGACCGTAGCGTGACATTGTTTTGGACATACCGGCTAATAAGCATTTCTTCAATCGGCAGGCTTTGCAGGATGTACGACTCCTCTTGTTAATCACGCAATTACCGCCATTCTTACATTCTGACACGCTATTGGGGTTGCTATATGTGCGACCGAAGAAAGACTGTAACAGAAAATTATAGTAATTGCTATTAATTAAAATATGAAAATTTTTTTTTAAATGACGAAAAAATCTTTATTGCAAGAAATTTATCGCAAATTTATTACTGCAATTGCAGCATTAAATTATGTTAGCAATTTCGCATTTAAAACGCCTCGATAACACTTTCTGATTAACACCACTGAAAATCACACAGCGAGATTAAGGAACGGAATATTTTGCTGACGCATCTGTAGAAATTAATGCATGCTCGTTAAACTGATCTACAAATGTATGTATCGTCGTCATACTGTACATTTATAATAGTATTACGATTGTCGATTGATCGTGAATTTTCGCGCGAAATCTCCCGGTCCAACCTTTGACTTTTGACACGTCGGGGAATCGCGAAGCGGCGCATTCGTATATAAATTAATCGGATTATCGAGACAAACGAAGAGCATTATCACGCCCGCGTCGTACTTTCACGTCGAATATTACCAGATACGTCCACGAGAGAAAACCTCCGTACGACCGAACCATATGGGTCGGTGCCCGCGTTCGATTTATTCTATTACGGTTCTATGACTTCTGACAGCCGGGACATCTGGAGAACGTCCGACGCTTCTCGTTAATCCTCATTGACCTACGGAATAACGGTAGCCGGCCGCAACCCTTTCGTCTGCGTTTCACAAAGACGACTGCGGTGAATTACACGATGCGTACCTGCATGCATCTGGGACAACGCGGTCGCGAATCGTATTTATTTCTCTCCGCGGTTAAGTCGCGCGACGGCATCAAGCCGAAGTAAATTCTCTCCGTACGATGAGAATTCGCGAGGATTGCACCACAATCGATCTCTTTTTCCGTTTGCGTAACGCGATCGTTCTGAAAAGATCGACCGCATTCGCGGACGTGAGGTCGGCGTTGCGCAGGACGCGACGACGACCACGAAGAGAGACGACCCATACGAAACCGCGCGTACGCTCGCTGAATGTTAAACGTCATTGCTCAAGGGCGCGCCGGTATAAGAGTGCGATGCGATCGTGCCGGGCCACACGCGGCCGTTCTCGTGCGACTTTGCTATTTAGCTCGCGCGATCGTATCAACCCTTTGCGCGGTGCCGATGGCAGTCGTTTACGTCGCGTTTATCATTCGTATCTTCAACGTTTTAATAGACGTTCGAGTATTTGTGCATTCCGTGGGAACTTTCTCGAAACGTCTTAAATCGAGAAACAGTTAAAGAAAAGTATGCTTAACGTCAGGGACAGAAATAAATTATTATAAAAATTCAATATTACGAAATATCTAATTTAAAACTGAGCGACTATGTCGGTATGCGATTTTTTCGGATAGCTGGTGTCAGATAATATTCTGTAAATCTGGATTCAGCGGTGAATTCAAAGCGCCGATTATCCAGCAGCTCCGTGGAACGTTGTTTCACATCGACAGATCCTTTCATAGATCGCGATTTATCGGGTCGTAAACCGGGGCATAAAGCCAATGGTCGCCATGCGGTTTGGCCCACATATGTACGCGGTTCTTCCTTTCCACTGTGCCGCCTGGGTCGCCCGTAAATCGCTGTTTTATACGATCGACCGATCGCGCCGTGGTGCAGTTCGCGGTTTTCTTCCCGTAGTTCTAATGTGCCATCTCTAGCAAGCGCGACGGGTGTCGCGTTCTATGCGGAAAGAATAAATCTGCCGACTTCCTGGCAGATATTTCTCGATCGGAAAATACAATCGCCGATCAAATAAATCAATTTTTTTTATTCGCGCGATTTAAGAATAAGTAACTCCGCGCGACATTATCATAGAAAAAAAATATTAATTATCATTTTTTTTTGCTTGGACCATTATTTTCAATATGCAGAATTAATTGCACTCGAATAATCATTCTGCTTTAGCTTGGATTATCCGGTTTTACGTACGCGATAATTATAATATTTACCGGACAATTTTCGAGCATAGCCGAAGGATAAATGCACGGTTCTCTCTTACTGATCATTGGAATATTCTACGAATTACGTGAGAATGAGCGTACGAGTTTTTCCAATAGCCATTCCTGTTATTCCGGATGACTCAAACGGTGACATAAATGCGATGATCAACCGGAAGTCCCAACGAATCATGCGAATATTATTGAGACCGACATGTAGGTCGTGAATTGGCCGCTGTGGACACTTCATCTCATCGAACGACTCGTTATTCCCAATCGGGACGTGTACCGCTACACGCGCGAGCTTTCAGGATTTCGGACCGTTACCAGCTCGCCCACGTGGCTCTTCGGTCAGGTGGAGTCCGCGGAATCCGCGTCCTTCCGCGACGACGACACGGCGACTTTTTACGTCTTATCTTCCGCCTCTTGTTCCGTAACACGCGCGTGCTAATCGATCGTGACGTAATGATTTAATAACAACAGGGGAAAACGTGAGAACGCGGATACGCGGAGTTGTGCGTAGATCTCGTAACAGTTCTAATGTATGCGATAGCTATATTTTAACAAAGCATGATCGTGCTCAATCTTAAGGAAGTCAGTCTCATGAATAAAAATCAGATCTATTTATGCTTGAGCATGAAAATTAGAACAGATAATCATTTACATCGAATAAATAGAAAAGATAAACATATTTTTTTCGAATTCAATATTGATGTTGATTAAACTTATGATATAGTCCACTTTACATATGCAGATATTTTTTGCATTTATATTCTATATGTTATCATTTTTAATATATTATTTTACTTCATTCTCGATGTATTATGGTTGTGTTTTTAAAGAAAGAAAGTACAATATATATTTTCTGGAAGAAAGAAACTGTATGCTATTAAATTTTTTGAATTGAAATTAATGTTGTCTTCAAGTAATGAAATCAGAAATGATCTCTGAAGACGGAAACTTAATCGAATCGGACGCCGTCGATTATAGATGCCGTGCGCTCGCATTTTTGACGTCTCTCGAAATTTCTGGAGAGTGTGAAGCGTCGAAAAACTGCGAAGTCGCGTCGTAAATTAGTGCTCGATGACCGTGCGAGCGAGAGACCGCGTGCGCGCCTTTCGAAGCAGCGGGGTTTTCTCGAGGCAGTTTTATCGTCGGCCGACAGGCGTTTAACTTTACGAGCAGCCACGCCACGTATATACTCTATCTTCTCCCTCTCGTCTTTTCGCTCTTTCTCCTGCATCTCTCTACCCATTCCCTTCGCCCTTTGCTCGCTCCCTTCGCGCATCCTCTTCGTCATTCTTTTCTCTTTCTTTCTCGCGCGCGCCTCTTTTCTAGGCGCAGGCATGCTAATTCACGTGAGGCGCGTAACATTAAACTCTGACGTTTAATCCGGTAGAAATGCGCGTGGTTTACACGCGGCAACCTCTGTGTTTCTGTGATTTGCCGCTGTGATTTTTCTCCCTCGCTTTTCTTCATCTCGACCGAGTTTGTTTAACACTTGTCGTTCTTTCACGTATTATCAATACGCGCGCGCGATATATAATTGGTGTGACAGTGGATAATATATCTCTTCTCTTCCATCTTGCGCGCGTTGATGCTCGTGAATGCTTGTCATTGCAGTTTGTCGCAAACAGGAACTCTTTCAGCCATCGTTTGCTCAGAACTTAACAGTACATATTCCATTACTTTCGCGTTAATGTGGCCGGCAGCGATAAAAGACTACCGTTTCCATCTATTACACTCCATGTAGTCGGCTTTAGATACCGAACTACACAATTGCATTTTACGCTTTAAAAGCCAGACGCGAATATCGCGGCTCCGATAACAAAAGTACAGTAATCGATAATGAACGAGTAACACGCAAAGTGGGGTTGAAAACACGATTATTCGACATTATTACCTCTCAACTTTCACCGCCAGAACAGACAATTCTCTAGCTTTCTTGTTCGCCTAAAATAGAACATCTGGATTACATCTTAAAGTAAAAAGCTGCCTTTTTATTCAAATGCAAATATCTCGGCGAAAAATGGTCGTATCGAGATAAATAAAAAAGCATTTTAAAGGGGAGACTCTGTACTATCGTATGTTTTTTATCCCATTGAGTTTCGACATTCGATTCACGCCATGTGTTTTGGCAAACTCGACTATTATTTTTCAATTTTGAATTCTCTCGTTTTGTCATCCCTCATTTTTAATAAATTTATCTCGCAACATTGAAATAAATAGAATTTTGAAGTAGAGATTCCAAGCTTTATTTTCATTTTTTAGAAATTTTTGTATCTTTATTATTTTCGAAGTTAGCCTTATTTGAAATTTGCTGATTTTTTCCAAATTTTAAGTATATCACTTTTTTGGAGTGAGTCTATTAATTGTGAAAAAGATTTCATTTGAAGTGGAAGTATGTCGAGACAAAACCTCCTACGTCTCGTAAGACAATTTTTCAGAGCAATCTTTCGAAACGCGTTAAAAAGTGACTCACGGTACGATGTTAATCACCTGAGAGAATGGACCGCGGCCGACCGCGGCCGGTCGTTCTGTATTCGTTTTACCCACGCTTTATGGTTAGCGTCGAGAACGGCAAGATCGTATGTTAGAAACTTTTACGACGCGCCGATATGGTCGCGGGGATTTGTCCTCGGGAGCTATTTGCTTACATTAGAATCCGCTTCGATTCAAGGGAAGAGGAAGCGTTTCGAGCGCGCGTAAATACTCTCGGTCTCTCTTTACTCGGGACAGAGACGAGTACGGATTGATGCACGAGGACGATCCGCGCTTCGAAAGAAAAAGAAAAAGGATGAGATGCGTGCGCGGCTATGTACTCGACCAGATCTGCTTCTCACGAAGAGAGAGATAAGACTTCTCTTGACGAAGAGCGCGCGGGAAGAGCTATACGACTCGCGGGGAGATAGCTGAAAACTCCGCGAAATGGATCGTCGCGAACTTGAGAATTATTTCTTCAGATTGTTACATTCTCTCGAGTGAGGCTGTCTTCAACCACGGTTGTTAATGTAATTTTACTTCTTTGGATTATCTCGCGCTATTAAATGGCTTCGCTTCAGCGTTGCCGTTAACTTTCTTTTTTT